ACACAAGAATCTGGTTCTGTACTGGTTTTTTTTTTTTGTTTGGTTTGGTTTTTTTTAAAGATTACATGGTCTGGTTGTTTTAGAAAACCTCCATTCAAGCTAATAGCTGCAGTGTTTTTCATGATAGCTGTAAACCTCATGTAACCAATTAGATATGACATAACACAATGGGCCAAATGGTGGTCATCTCATTTAAGAACAAATCATTCCAAGTAAATCATCTTAAACCTCAACTCACTCTTGCTTTATGAAGTGTTAATGCTTGGGGATGTCATCAACCAATCCTATTAAAGTGTTGGAACGTCTTGTGCTCAAAAACACATTTCCAATGGAACTACTTGGCTGGTTGATACTGTAGCAACTTTACTGCCTGATAATGAGTCAGAACCATTTTTATATAACTAAATAACCTAGGTTTGAGTATGCGTATATGTGTATTTTAATTTCCGCCTGAACCTGACCAGTGTCAGAGCTCCAATTATTCACTGTCAGCTGAGTTGTTTCATTTTCTCTGTCGTTTTACTGCAAAGATTACATTTCACAAAGTTATCTGTCCCTCAATAATTCCATTACAATAAAATTACAATCATTTCTATTTTTCTGTTTCATGTTTTTTTTTTCTCCAGCTCTGGGGACAATTGTTTGTCTTTTAATATAAAAGTGCTATTATACTCTCTTTCTTGTACACTCACCTGACTTCTGGAGGGGTTATTTGAGCTCCCTTGATCTGGGACAGAACAGACAGACAGGGGTGTTAAATACAGGCTGACACTGTCACTTCTGTAAAAGCCAAACATTGCCTAATTGCTTATAACATGTCTTTTTTTAGAAACCCTTTCCCTTATCTACGCAGGACCTATTTTAAAGAATATTGTCCTGACAAGTTATAATTATGATTGTCAAATCGTTTTACTTTGATAATAAAATATAGCCTTTTGGTCTTTCATAATTAACTCCTCTAATTTGTACCTCAGGGCAGAGTACAACCAGGGCTTTGTTAGCAGGAATATTAAGTAATACAGTTTATTAGCATAATGAAAAAACAATGTGAACTTAAATGCCTTCAAATTGTGGAATTCAGCAAATATTTTTAAAGCCATTAAAATAATTGCTTTGATGTTTGTGTGATGCTCAGTTTGGATTTTTTTTAATAGTCTCTAAATTAGGGGACATGTTTCTAGGAGAATATTTAATCCATACTGTCTAAGGTTTTTCTTCAAGGTGCTCTATCAATTTAATTTATCATGTTGGTGTAATCAGAAGGAAAACAACATCAGTACTGCTTTGTGTTCACAGTTATTGACCTGGAAATTAAGGCCTAATTAGTAAACTACCGTTAGCTGGAACTAAGTACACTGTCAGTGTTCATATATTTAAGTATTTACCTTCAGACTGCAGTCAATGCAAGAAACAGGCCAAAAGCTTACAGAGATCTCTCTTGTTATTACAGAAACAATTCCTATAAAACTGAGGAATGTATTTTCTCTAAAGCTTCACAGCTATGAATTAAAACCTCGCCAAAGCCCAGACAGTTAAATGGATGAAAAGAAAGAGATTTTAATTGATCTGCTTTACTTAATCTTAGTTTGGATTAAATTTGTTTTTGTTTGTGTTATATGTTTTAGCATATATGTATGCGGATTTTGTGAAAATCAAACTGTAATAAACACTAAAAGAACTTGGGTAAAATAACGTTGCTCTATTGCTTTCTTTTTCCACATTTGAGCTGATGGACGTTTCTCTTTCAACAGCCCCACATATATTTTTGAATTAATTGTAAAGAGCTGAAAAATCCTGTCCAATCATCATCACCCAAAAGTACCACAGTCTTCCACACATGATGAACGGGCTCAGTCATTGCTCAAGTTGGCTAACATGACGATACGTAGGAAGAGTGACCACAAAAGGAGTATCCATGATTAAGTTACCACTTTATTACCACCAGCCTTGTATCAGTGACCAACCACAAAAAAATAACAGGTAGCCAGTAGTGACAGGAATAACTGTGTATATGGTATATTATAGCCTTCAGACACCAACACACCCCGAGCCTTGTGTCATAGAGAAAGTTATTAAAAAAGCAGATTTGAAATCAAATTGCATGTCCAATGTATCAACCCTTTATATTCTTCCATTAAGATTCTAATTTCAAAAGCTGTTTACCTGAGAGCACTCATAGCTTCTCTTTAAATTCAACTAAACCTTCAACTTAAATCTGGTACATTGTCGTATAACTGTGGACAAAAATTTATACATCCAAAAAATAATAATAAATAATAATAATAATAATCCATTTTTTGCTGTAAAAAAAATCTATTCTGTGCCCTCTGTGTTAGCTTGTAGCATATTAACAGCAAAAGCAGCACAGAAATGCTCCCTGCAAGTCCAGCGCAGTCAACAGCTCCACCTGGAGTCTGTGTGCAGATAAACAGCTGCATTCACTGCCTCAGGCACAGTTATAAAAAAGAGTGAATCCTGATGTCACTTTCTTGACACATTTTAATTAACTATTGAAGCGGAAAGTAAACATCATTATGTAAATAAGTAGCCTTGTTAGTTGGCTCCATTAAGACAGCTATTTCCCTGCCCATTAGAAATAATTAAACATGCCTTAAAGGATATTATATGGATGTACCATGATACAAACTCGCCTCAAAGGCTTTCAAAGCTGACTCACTCATGGGTGCTGTATGTCAACAAGGTTGTCAGCCATCTCTCCTCAAATACTGTAGATTGTGGCTAAGAAGTATTTCATCTTCTGACCTTAACACACAGCACCAGCCGCAGAGTCGCCACTTTGGACATCAACTCATTTATTTATGTCTTCTTTTCTTCTTTCTCTCTTTCTTTCTCCTCCAATCAACCCTCCCCTCCACACACAGACACACACCCTTCTGTCTCCTCTTGGAGATCAGAGCTGGAGGCTATTGATTCGGCTTGCTTGAGAGCTCCTGTTGGCCACAAACATAAGTCACACTGTTACCTTTAGAGAGTTCTCCGATTGATTCCTGTGCGCTTTTTGTCATCAGCCAGACGAAGTCAGCGACTGACACCACTCTCATATTATCGCAGTGCACATGCCCGCAGGAAGCTTGATAGAATGGCAGGAGGTGCATACAAACTGCTTGGAGACAGAGTGACTCATCTGAGCAAGAGAAAGACACCAAGCTCAGAGAAAGAACAGGACCATTTGGAGAAAAAATAATTAAGTCCAAAAGCTGCCTGATTCTCTGACACAGGCCTGAAGTGAACTGAAAGTAAACAAAACGCTGACAATGTCAAATAAATTAGACCATTTCTTTTCCAAATTTTACAATAAAAGGTATGAACCAAGTTCTCTGATTTGAAAATACAAAGCACTGAAGCATTTTTCATGTACAACAACGGTACATGTGTATTGGTGCTATACAAGTCTCACAGAGTAGAGCAGCACACAGCACAGTAGCTTATAAGGAGGCAATTTACTGCTCTGTTTATCAGAATCTTCCTCAGATTCAACTGTAAATAATACACACATTTCCGAGTACACACTATTTCCCAGCTTACAGCTAAAAACTGCACATCTTTTAAAACCACACATTTCCCACAGTCCTTTCGGTTAAGGATGTGTGCTCCTACAGCAGATGTGCATTCAACTTTCAGTGTTCAGTGATTACACTCCCAACCACAGCAATATTTGCTGTTTCACATCACTGATGTGCATACCCAGCCTGTGGTCAACATAGTGGAGGAGTTTATTCTTTGGATTAGTTTAGATGAAACTAATTTATGCGAGGAAATTCGATCACTGCTGCAAATGTAATAAGAATGTAAGCACACTAACGGAATATGAAAGATGAATAGCATGAGCTGCTGTATCAGCTGTATCTGGCTTTTTAAAAAGGGAACATGGAGAAAATGTGACCGTACTGTCTACACTGCAGATACTGAATATAATACTGAAATTTGTGTTTACCTCATTCAATAAGATTAGACTAACAACAGGATTTAATGCAGGACCGTAAAATAGTATTCCAAGACTTTTTGTTGACATAGCCGTTGTAACCTTGAAAATGAGAGCAGACATGGCCCGCACTGGAGAAAACTGTGTAAATGAGCCATATCCTTACCCTGGCATCCTGACTGCCACTGCACACCACTGTCCCTTCAGGGTAAGCCTTTACACACAGCTGTGGTGACAGTGTTTACTTATATACTCACCAGTCTCATAAATCTTGCTATCTGGTCTGCTTAGGACCAGTCAAACAAGGGCCATAAAGAATAAGACGTCATCAACTTCCCACTGTCCTTTGTTAACTTTGCTGCTGTAGACTAGTGGAAAATGCAGGGATGGAGTACATACTGTAAACATGCACACACACACACACACACACGTTGGTGGATGAATTGCACACACACACACAAACACACATCTGCACAACTGCACCTGTTCCCTATAGACTGGCCCAAAACAGAAGTGAGTGGGGCATTTCTTTTGTATGTGTGAGTGTGTCTGTGTGTGTGGCAGCCTGTTGTTAACTGACCTGGATGACAACAACATGAAGTTAATGGCCTAAAAGTAGGCAGCTTTCCCAGACAATTACCATCAAATCTCTCCCCCAGTGCACAATCTCATCCCTCCCTCCACCATTTTCCATCGCAGCCTAATATCGCTTTCTCCGTCTCAGGTGCCCCTGGCCACCATCAAGGTGATTTATTCCCCATGCAGGCTGGATCAGGGCATTGCTCCATACCTCTCTGTGTCTCTCTCTTTGTCTCACACACACAGTAGTAAGAAAGTTAGTATCACTTTATCAGTGACTGGATGTTCTAGCTATAAAAGCCTGCGCTGCACAGGAAAAGAAAAAAAAGGAAAAGAGGGATACACAACAAGCTTTCACACCAACAACTTGTCTTGGCTGTGAGGTGTTTACAACCACCAATGGGTGGGACTTAAACACCCGAAGGCGGGGTGACGTTTTCCACATAAATACTTGTGCATCGAGGCAGAACATGACCCCGTGAGTGACTCCTCATCAGCTTAGGAACGGATTTCCTTCAGAGCAGAAAATCCTGGGAAGCCAAGGATGATGTTGGTTTTTGCGGCTCTGACTTGAGCAAGCTGAGCGTGCTGGCATGAAGAAAATGCCACAAGATGAAAATTCAAGTGTGAGGTGGTTCCTCTTTCAAGTAGCGAGGGAGAAGAGCGAGAGAGTTGACCTGAGAGAAAGTGCAAGTTTCCAAAATCGCATGAATACCGCTGCGCGTCACGCCACTGGATAGTGGAGAGGATAAAGCGCACGGGAGCGCACAGGTAGGTCGACTCCCATCTACTCATCACATTTACAAGTGTGTTTATGAAATGAAATTACAATTATTGTTGTTTTTTTAAGAAAGCCATTGCCGTGAAATATATTTTTAAATGTCATGTATTTCTCAACAAAAAAAATGGAAGAATGTTATTAGCCTTAAAGTTTTATATATTAAACTCAATGAGATTCAATGAGCCATGCGTGTGAACGCCTCAAATGTCTCTCGTGACTGTGGGCTATAGCTATTATAGTTTGTTTAGTGGACGGAAATGTCAAGCCCCATGCAGCCTGAAGGGGACAGGGGCTTCAAGTGTTTGTGTTCTCAACAACATGCTGCGGGCTGCGCGTCACTCCCGTGTTTTGGAGCGCGGTTCAGTGAATCTTCACGTCAGACCATTTATTTGTGCAACACATTTTCACAGCCTCGGGTTGCAACGTCTGACAACTGACGGTTATTAGATTATTATTATTTTAGGTCACCAACAAGGCACCAGGTGAGGACATATAGGTAACTACCGTCCACTCTCAGGGTGGCAGTATTCATTCAGTATTCAAGGATGAGAGGTGGCCATCATCTCATTTCAGGCAATAAATAAATAAATTGTATTATATTTTTATGTGTATTATTATTATTATTATTATTATTATTATTATTATTACGTGCTGTATGGGTTCACAGTGCAGCATGCAAATAGTGACCTATTAATAATGCTTCAATCAAAAATGTCTACATAAAATAAAAAATATCCTTATTAAGACAAAACGTCTTAAAATTTGCTCACATTCTCCAAACACAACAAAGAAAACTGGAGTTAAACATTTTTTCATCCTTAGCTAAAATTTGCTGTCATCAGAAGGTGAATTACTGCCTTAACACAGAAGAGGAACGTCACACAGCAGATGTCCGTACTGTCAATAATGTCATCCTGCTTCCTGTTGAACTTCAGTGAAACTATTGTGGTTCAGTTTCCAGCTCAACATGCATATCTATGGTGAAACTAATTATGCATTATTCTTAAACTTCAGAATTGATATGTATTTGTTCACTGGAGGGATCTCAAAAAACTATTTTACAAAATCTATATCTTTTGCTATATATGTTTGTCCCTCTTGAGCAATGTCACGGCTGATATCATCCATATGGGCTCTCGGCCACTTGGCTACAGGATTTAGTTTCTGTCTGTCCCTCCATTACAGACATCTAATCTAACGACAGTGACAGTATTGAGACCTACTTAACTAATCTTCTTCTAAAGTGCAACCTTCCATTAAAAGAAATGGCATGTTGGCCACATGCCCAGACAATTCGGTGGAAAGTTTCTCTGCTCTCCTGGTAATTATGGGTATCTTGCCCAGTGAGTGTGTATGGTGCGAAAGGTAGACATACCAGGATGTTTTGGGAAAGGTTATGGGTTGTTGTTAGTTATGCCATAAAATAAAAAAATTGAAATTTGTGTCTGTCTTTTCTCTCATGAGCTATTTCCTACTGTAATCCAAATGGACACCAGCACTCCCTCCTTCAACATGGATGACTACAGTTGGTCGATATCCCAGAATGTCAGCATGTCTTCCTCACCGTACCCCCACTACTCCAATATCTCACATGGGGCTGCGCTAATGCCCTTTGATGTGATCACCGCAGTCGTCTACACCATCGTCTTCATTGTGGGTCTTCTGGGTAACACGCTGGTCATCTACGTGGTGGTTCGCTACTCCAAGATGAAGACAGTAACCAACATGTACATCCTCAATTTAGCCTTGGCGGATGAACTCTACATCCTGGGACTTCCCTTCCTGGGCACTAACAGTGTGCTTTCCTACTGGCCATTTGGGAATTTCTTCTGCAAGGTGTGGATGACTGCTGACACCATGAGCCAGTTCGCATCCACCTTTTGCCTGACGGTGATGAGCATCGACCGCTACCTGGCAGTGGTTCATCCTATTCGCAGTGCCAAATGGCGGAAACCACAGGTGGCCAAGGTTTCCAATGCCATGGTGTGGATTGTGTCCTTTCTGGTTGTGCTGCCTGTCACAATCTACTCACATTTACAAGAGGAGTACAACACCTGCAACATAACCTGGCCTGAGCCCCATGAATTGTTGTCCATTGCCTTCATCCTTTACACATCCATCCTGGGCTTCTTTGCTCCTCTGGTGGTCATTTGCCTCTGCTACCTGCTCATCGTCATCAAGGTAATAAGACATAAAAATGTCCTGTGGCTTTTACTGTTCTCTAACAAAAAAAAGTATTTTCATGTGAGGTTCTGCCCTCAGAATCACATAAAACCTTTAAAATCAACCATCTCTCTTTCAGGTAAGGTCAGCAGGTGTGCGCGCAGGCCTGACTAGGCGGCGTAAGTCGGAGCGCAAGGTGACGCGCATGGTGGTTATCATCGTGTTGGTGTTTGTGCTCTGTTGGCTGCCCTTCTTCACCACCAACATTGTCAACCTGTTTCACACCATCCCTGAGAACAAAACCACCGTCTACTTCTTCTTGGTCATCCTCACCTACGTCAACTCCTGTGCCAACCCAGTCCTCTACGGCTTCCTCTCTGACAAGTTCAATCAGAGCTTCCAGAAGGTGCTCTGCTTCCACATACCAAATAGTGTTTCCACTACAGACCAGAAGAGAGGTCAACAGAAGGGAAACCACAATCCTATTTTAACACCCAGAAATCACAGACAGAATGGAAATGTGCTGAGCATTCAGGTATTGCAACTGTTTTCACGTGATCCATGTAATTTCTGAAATAAAAATCTTTATTTCCACATTTTACAGTTGTACATTTTACAGTCAGCCTGTTTCAAATTTCAGCTTCTGATGCATTGAATTTTAAGTTGCTTAGGCCCAATTTCTGGCCCAAGCCAGTCCAAAAGCCAAAGGGCAATATCAAGAGGTGAGAACCAGAGGGGCGTAAGTAACATTTTGAGTGAAAATTAGTTATATATATTAATTGAAAACCAAAAGGCCTATCACTGAACAATCTGAACTATTTGGGCTAAAAAGGCTTAAGTGTACTTAAAAGGTAGGTCAAATATTTTTTTCAATAAAAGTCAAAACATTGTTCATTGAGTATATTGTCACCCACATGTTTATGAAGTTTTAATATTAAACCTTTAATTTTAATAAACAAAGTCAGGAAAAAGTATCTAAGTATGTTAATGCTCTTCTGTAAAGTTGGTTAAATATCACTTATGTCCCTCTGCTTCTCATCCCTCAATATTTTGTTGTTGTTGTTAAAACAAAGGGAAACATGATTATTCTGGTTTAAATAGTAAATAAAATATATCATTGTAATCGTATAATTGAAACTTATTCTTAGTAACATAGTTCATAATTATATTTATACACAAACCGAAACTGCTGTGTACGTGTGCACCAGCAGCCCCCACTGTCAGGGTCCTCAGTGTGTTGTCTCCCTAATGTCTTCCTTTATTCTGTGTGAAAATGTGACCTCCAGACATGAAACCCACTTTATGTGACAGACAGGAATGAACTGAGCCCCAGGTTAAAACCATCAACTAGAACAACAAAGTTTACTGTTGTTAAGCAGATCGGTAATACTGTTTCTCTTTATGACTTATTCTTTCCCTTATCTCTGTGTCTGTGTTCTTGTTCCAGCAGCCTTTCCAGGAGGAGGTTATTGAAGACCACGACAGTGATCCTTCAAAAATAGCGATGAATGGGCAGCAATCGCTATGAGCTTTCAAACTGACCCACAGTGCCCTAGAGTGCTACCACGTGGGACTTATACTCCTGGACCTTGTGTTAATTGATATAACCCGTCTTTGTTGCTGATCCTCCCTCTCTGACTGGGACATTTGTGGAGAAGGGCCGGAGGAGCAAAATAGTGAAAGAAGACTACATATGGCATTGTTTGTTCTTCATGCGTTTCCACTATAACCAGGTCGGCTGCATTGTAGGTTTCACAGCATTCATTTATGTAATAATGTAAGATCTGTTTAAGCAATAGTTTGACATTTTTGGAAATCCACTTAGCAAATCTGGCAAATACGTGTATTTCCCAAAAACTGGAACTGTTACTTTAAGAAGAGAAACTCAGAGCAATAGAGCGATGGAATTAGTACATGTAAATATACATTTACTATGTGAGCCATTATAGTACAGGTCATTTCACCCTGATCAGTGATGTTTTTCACCATGCCTTTACTGGGTATCAGGTTTATATTCAAAAACTCAGCCATTGTTCTTTCCTTAATTTACAGTATTTAATTTGTACTGCTAATAGCTACAGTGAGCGCTGTTCTGTTTGACTTTCATGACAATTATTTTTCTTTCGGCTTGTTAGTTTTTATAGGCTTCTTGTGACATTTTGACTTTGATGTTACAAAGCTGTGAAAAATGCCTTGAAATAGCACAGCCAGGCATTGTCCTCTAGTGGATTTATCTCTTCTCTCTCACATTTCTGAAACAGCATCTACTGGAGTGGATGCCACACATGGTGACTTAAAGGAGCATATCATTTATCCGAACCTCCGCAACAAACCTTATCATATCTTTACTCACCATTTAGTTGCCGGTCTACAAGCTCTGACATTTGATGCCGACATTATTTGGAAGTTGCTGGACAACTGTAATTGAAACTTGAGCTGTTGACAATGTTTATGGTGAGGTCTTTGAAAAACTGCCCAGTAAGACGGACCTGTGGAAGCATGGAGACCTTACAGGAAAGAAGGGATTACTTTGTGTTAGAAACACTGTGAATTTAAGATAATTGGTCATTTTAAATATGGAGTCTTGAGTTCTGTGACATCCCCATCCCATATATTTATATATACAACAAAAATACTAACTTAGTGATTCTGATTAAGAAGTGAATCTTAATAAACAACCGAGTCTGCTTTGCATGGTCTCCCTGCATTAACCCTACACAGTACAATGTAGGGCGGCTGCATGAAACAAAGCGTGCATATGGTGTGCATTTATCCCATTAAGAGATGTTTATTGTCGCTGTGATTGATATTATGGCAGGTTCATGTTTCAGACTGAAGCACTTTATTGTTATTTCCAGTTGAACACAGAAAAGTGGCAGCTTTACACTTAAATGTTAATGTCTCTCCACATGAACCAATTTAGCTTCTTTTTTTGATTTGTAAATGAAGTTAAAGTAGTTTTATTGCAAAAGCAGAGTGAACAAGAAGAAGTGTCTTTCTTTTTCTCAAGGCAGAAAACAGATTTGGATGTATTTTGACGTACAACTTCAGAACAATGGCCTGCCACAAAATAAAATACTTACATTAAAATCTGGAAGGCTGTTGTCAGGAAAATGAAGGGGACGATTCAAAGTGTCTTTGTGGGCTGACTTTTTATTTGTTGTTATTGGTGGTGGGGTTTTATTTGTTTTCAGGCTTTTTTCCCCCCAGATTTATGATTTAGCAACCCTTTCACTGTTACTTTAATAAATGCAACTATGTCAAAACACAGTGTGGAGTGAAAATTGTTTTAAGGTTAGGCAATGTTATATGCACGTTGAAAGAGTTATTGGTCATTTTAATATTTACATCATATATCTCCATACTGCCAAACTTTATACTGTCTAGGTCTTCAGATTCAGTAGACAGTATACAAGGTATGAAAATCTTACAGCAAAATGAGTAATTAGATGAAGGAGTAAAAAACCAGAGGTACCATGTGTCTTTAACAACTTCCATCATCTTCTCCCCCTGAAGATTTTTTTACTGCTGTTTTCTCTCTTTTCTGCTGCTCCTTAAACTTTGTTTTCCATAATTTTTCTATATACTCTCTTTCTTAGCCCTTATTGCATGTCTGTTTACTGACAACCTGTTTTTGTGGTTGTGTGTGGGGGTAGAAACACACTCTGTGCCTTCTGCAGCTTCTGGTTGCCCTGGGTGTTTACGGTCATGCTGCTTTTGTTCCATCAACCTCAATGTCACGCAAAAGAACCAGTATTATTATCAAACAGAGAAAAGAGCACATTAAACTAGAACTGTTTTTGGACTCTCGAGTTATTCTGGGAAAGCCATGAAAGGATAACATTTTTCTAAGGAAAGGAAATAACACTTTAATGTTTTGTTACTGAATGAAATGTAGTACATGCACACACATACACCCACTTGTTCTACATTTTCTAAAAGTTGACTGCCTTTGTGACTTAGTAAGAAATTGGCCTAATTAACCAAAAAACCCCAGAGGAGTTTTTATATCCAGGCAGCAACAGCATTAATTTGTCCACCCATTAGTTTGTAATATAATATATAATTCCACCACAGTACAAATCTGCAATAAGTTCCATACTGTACATGCCTGTACACTGATAAGTTCATTGTACTTAAACCA